AAGCTTCAGCGCATCCCTGGCCAGCTGCCTCTCAGCTGGCCCGTGTTCCCAGCCAGCCTCCGCAGAGAGGGCTGCTCTGATGCTGGGCTCTGCCGCAGCTCCTGCCCCATCTCCCAGCTGTGCCCCTGTTGCCCCCCGGCGCGTGGCAGCATCTGGCCGCGGAGCTGGTGCCTGCTGGGGTGGGCTGTCAGCAGCCAAAAGGAGCCGTCCTCGGGGGGCTCGGGGAGCATCGTTGCTGGGGACGGGTGTCAGGGCTGGCATGTCGCAGGCCTGCGTGCAGATGGGCCCGGGGGTGCCAGAGGAGCTGGGTGATGCTGTGTCCCCATGGGCTTTGTGGCGTGACCCACGGTGCTGCCAGCCAGGGGGTGCAGGTGGCTGCTCTCCATCCAGATGTTGTGCAGCATGTGCCGGACACTGTGCTGAGCTGGAGTTGTGCAGGATGTTCATGCTCTGCCTCTGACTCTTTGCAGGTTGTTGGTCAAGTTTCCAGAGCTGAACTATCAGCTGAAAATTAAAGTCTGCATCGACAAGTGAGTTCTGTGCTCTGACCTGGGCAGCACTGGGGGGATGACTGGAGCGGGGCTGGGTCCAGCTCCATCCCTGCACCGAGAGCCCACGTGGCCCCTGGTGGAAGGGGAGGGTGCGGGGTGACACTGGGTCCCGAGGCTGTGGCCGTGACCGGGTGTCTCTCTCTCCTTTCCTAGGGACTCGGGGGATGTTGCAGCACTTCGAGGGTAAGTGCAATATTTGGGTTTGTTTTTTTTTTCTTGCTTCTGCTTTTAATCCTGGCAAACATCCTACTGCACATTTGCTCTGAGAGGGCCCCGTCAGCCACACTGTGTCTTTCCTCTTTTGAGGTCCCGGAAGTTTAATATCCTGGGGACAAACACCAAGGTCATGAACATGGAGGAGTCGAACAACGGCAGCCTCTCCGCGGAGTTCAAGCACCTGGTGGGTACCACGAGCTTTCGGCTGCTCCTGTGAAGGCCGTGTGCCCTCGTGGCGTTGCTTCAGCCGTTCCTTCTCTCCACAGACCCTGCGGGAGCAGCGGTGCGGTAACGGAGGCAGAGCCAACTGCGATGTGAGTGCTGGGGGGCCCTTGCCAGCAGCTCTGCTCCCCGCCAGGCAGTGCGGGGCCCGATGGCCGTGTGTCCGGCCAGTGGCAGGTGTCCACTGTGTGCTCATGTCCTCTTCCCCCCAGGCCTCACTGATCGTCACTGAGGAGCTGCACCTCATCACATTCGAGACAGAGGTGTATCACCAGGGGCTGAAGATCGACCTGGAGGTGAGCTGCGGGTTCCTGCTGGGAGCCAGGCTGCAGAGGAGCCCTGGAGGTGCCCCAGCCTGCACTCACGTCCTGTCTTTGCAGACCCACTCGCTGCCGGTGGTGGTCATCTCCAACATCTGCCAGATGCCCAACGCCTGGGCGTCCATCCTGTGGTACAACATGCTGACCAACAACCCCAAGGTGGGGCCCGGCGCCGTGGGGCGGCTGGCAGAGCAGCAGGGCAGGGTCTGGGACCAGAGCATTCCCGGCTGCAGGGCTGGGGCAGGACCCGGCCCTGCTTCCGTCCCATGTCCTGCTCAGGGCTGTGTCCTCCTCTGCAGAACGTGAACTTCTTCACCAAGCCCCCCATCGGGACCTGGGACCAGGTGGCAGAGGTGCTGAGCTGGCAGTTCTCCTCCACCACGAAGCGTGGCCTCAGCATCGAGCAGCTGACGACGCTGGCGGAGAAGCTCCTAGGTAACCCGGTGGAGGTGTCCTGCCCGTCCCCACTGTCCCTCGGGGCGGGTCCCCATCTGTAAATGCCACACGGGAGCAAGTCTCTGGTGTCTGGGGGGTGAGCTGTAATTTGCGGTTGCTTGGTTTTCCCCCAACCACCCCAAACCTCGAGCTGCTCCCTGGAAACGGTGTCTGTGGAAGAACAGCTCTAGCTCAGTGTTGATGCTCCTGTTCTCTGCCAGGGCCCGGTGTGAATTACTCCGGCTGTCAGATCACCTGGGCCAAGTTCTGCAAGGTAGGACTCGCCCCTTCCCCTGAGCGCCTGCCCTTGGCTCTTCCTTCCTCCGAGCTGTGCTCACAGCCTCCCTGCCCTCCTCCCCAGGAAAACATGGCTGGCAAAGGCTTCTCTTTCTGGGTCTGGCTGGACAACATCATTGACTTGGTGAAAAAGTACATCCTGGCGCTGTGGAACGAAGGGTGAGCCTCGGCCAGCGTCCATCCCGAGACCCCGGGTTAGGCTGGGCCTTGGGAGGGGTCCCATGATCCTGTCCTGTGGAGGGGGTGCCCTGGCAGCAGGTGGACTCTCCTGGGATGATTTTTCTGACTGGTTCAGTGAAACCCCTCCCTGGCACCTGGGGATCCCCAAAACCTCGGTGGCTTTGCCGATGGCCGGATCCTGATGCTGTGCAGAGAGCTGGCAGGGTTCACGTCCTGGAATCGCTGCCCTGGTGTCCTGACCCCTCCTCGCTTCCCGACACCAGGTACATCATGGGGTTCATCAGCAAGGAGCGGGAGCGAGCCATCCTCAGCACCAAGCCCCCGGGAACCTTCCTGCTGCGGTGCAGAGGGAGGCGC